GGTGGGGGACTGCTAGAGTGGCTTCTGTGAGAAGAGTCCAGAAACTGTCCTATGTTCATCGAACCACAGAATGGTTTGAGTTGGAAGGGACCTTAAAAATCATCCATTTCCAACCCCCCTGCAATGAGTAGGAACACCTTCCACTAGATCAGGTTGCACAAAGCCCCATCCAATCTGGCCTTGAACACTTCCAGAGATGCAGCATTCACAACTTCTCTGGGCAACCTGTTCTAGTTCCTCACTGCCCTCATTGTGAAGAAATGTTAGATGTTAGATAACAACCTGTTCCAGCTGGGAGCACCACTGGTCAAAGCTGCACCAATGAGAGACATTGGTGGTGCCTCTGTCAGAGTATATTTAAGAAAAGGAAAAAAGTGCTGCTCAACAGCCACTGGGAGAGGAGTGAGAAAATGGAAAGAGAAACAACCTACAGATGCCAAGGTCAGTGAAGAGGGTGGTATTGTAGGCTCCAGAGTTGAAGTTCCCCTGTGGCCTGTGGAGAGGCCCACGGTGGAGCAGGCTGTCGACCTGCAGCACATGGTGCACCTTGGTGGAGCAGATCTCCATGCTGCAGTCCACGGAGAAGCTCACACCAGAGCAAGTAGATAAGAGCCCCTGCAGGAACAGACTCCTGAGCAGAACAGCAACTCATGGAGAGGAGCCCACAGTGTATCAGAAGATCAGGTGGGAGCTGCAGTCCATGTGGTACCCATGCTGGAGCAGTCTGTTCCTAAAGGGCTCCATGTTCCTAAAGGGATCCATACCCCATGGTATGTATCCGTATTGGAGCAGTTCTTGAAAAACTGACATCTGTGACAAGCCCTTGTTGGATCAGTTCAGGAAGGACTGCATCCCATGGGAAGGACTCCACGCTGGAGCAGGGGAAGCAGAGGAAGAGAGTAAAGGTGAAGGACTGGCAGAGATGAAGTATTATGGACTGATCGTAATCCCCACTCCCCATTCTCCTGTGCTGCTCGGGGGAGATGGTAGAAGAGAGTGGATAAGGGGAAGGTGGTTTTAATTTGCTTTTAGTTTCCACTGCTCTAGTCTGTTATCAATACACATTAAATTTCCATTATGCTGAGTATGTTTTGCCCATGACTGTACCTGGTGAATGATGTCCCTGTCCTTATCTCAACCCTTGAGCTTTTGTCATCATATTTCCTCCCTTTGTTCTTTTGAGGAACAGGATAAAGTGGTGTGGTGGTGCTAGGCTACCTTACGGTATGAAACCACCACACCACTTTACCATCTGTGTTCCCTGATTCCTGCTGAGTAATCATAATTCAACATAGCCTGCTGCCACAGAACTCCCCATTTCACTTTATACAGTTTGTACTACTTCAGATTATCAGAAAATTGAGGTTTTGGCTTACAGTGACATTAATTTTTTATATCATTCAATCCTTCTGCACATGCACTTCTTTGAGGTGCTTAAACTAGGATTCAGTTCTGGTTCTTCTCTCTAAATTTCTTGAACTGTACAATTTCACTTTAGTGTCACTAAAAACAGATTTGCCCTCCAGCCATGCTGGTGTCTCTGCACTAACTTTAAAAGGCAGTTGATTGAGTCTAGCCCTGTTCAGATGTCTTAGCTAAATGCCTGAAGTTCACTGGAATGAATCAGGGTATATAAATAAGTAATTTGAAACCAGGCTTCCTCTGTGGAAACAAACTTGTTATGCTAAAGAATAATCAAAAACAAGTTAGTGTTATGCTCAAAATATTGTGTATGGGCAAAGAGGAAGCAAAAATCATGTATCTGTAACAATAAAGCTAAAATGTTATTGTTGCCGTAATGGAGATCTTAACAGTCTAATTCAATAGTCATCATTAGTTTTTATTTACTTAGAACAGGAAAAAAAAATAAATTAGTACATATCCATATGGAAAAAAGTCAAAATAGTATTTAAAATAATTAGAAATAAAAAACATACAGTTTCTATGCCTTATCTTGGAGTTCTGTTCCACTACTCCTCTGGGTCTTAAAGTCATTAGCTTTGGACTCCTTGAGAGAATAGAGTTAAGCAATGTTAGAGCATAACTGTCTCCTCCAGCAGCCTCAGCTCAGGACAACTACTTCACAGCCACTGGAGGTCTGCCTGGTGCCTGGGGTCTCTACCCACGCTGAGGGATGTGCCGGCCGTAGTGCACTCACACACCTCACCACTAAGCCTCACACACCACACCAGCACAGCCAGCCCAGCCCCCTCCTGCCCTCGGGCTGGCACAGACAGCAGCTCCCTGGTGCAGGCACACACACACCGCTCCAGGCCCACCAGCACACCCATACTCACGGGTGCCCCGAGCGCCAGCAGGGCCCCTCTGCCCAACCAGCACCCCTGTCCTCAACTCAGCCCCTCTCACCTGCCCACGGGTCCCCTTCCTGCCAGCTGCTCCATCGAATGCACCCCTCCTCCCCCCGCCATGCACACCCAGTTTGGGGCAGACACAGATGCTGCCCCCAGCAGCCAGCACCACGCTGTGGCCTGCAGCCCTGCTCCAGCCACCAGCCCAGCCCTACACTCACCCTGCTCAACCCTATCCCTGAGCAGCTGATTTGGCAACACACACTGCTTCTGCCCTGGGGGATGGAGGCTGACGACACCCCTCCCATTCCAGTAGCTAATGCTGAGACCCCCACTGGCTTCTGTAGCTGGCAGCACAGGGCAGGGGCACCCCCACCCTGGTCTCACTCTAGCAGCTGGCACTCAGCCCAGTCATACAAATTCCCCCAGTGGCTGTCTGGGCTCAAAGTCCTCCTTAGATCCGGAGAACTGTGACCCCTCTCCAGCTACTGACACCAGGATCCTCACACTCTCCAGTAGCTGATACTGTCTTTCTACATGCACATACAGATAAAACTGTAACTCACCAGCCTCTGGAGTCCTTTGCCAGGAGGAATATGATAATAGTTTTTGCTTTCTGCACCAGTATCCAAGTGTATCTTTTCCAAAGTATCTTTTTTGAAACTGACTCTGCAGATTTTGAATGTTACTTTTTTCTTTTTAATATATATATATATTCATATTTGTTTCATTTTTTTTATCTTATATTGTTCCTAAAATTGATGGACAACAGAAATAGGTCTTCAAAAGACAATCACTCATGGAAGAAAATGACAGCCATTTTATGGTCACAAAACCATTGTACTTTTTTATTTCAAATTAAATGTGAAATAAATATATATTTGTATATCAATAGAAGCTTATGTTTCATACACTTACTTGCATTAATCACACATTCTTTATGTTTGGATTACTATTTCAAGAAAACAATACATTGTGTTCAAATTATTTTTTTTTTTCCTTTGGACGAAATGGAGTTGGAGACATGATTTCTATTTGCATGTTATAAAATGATGAAAAAAATATAAATTATATAATACTTTCATTATGGCTGAAAGACACAGACTATTTTTACACTATACATGTATGTCAAAGTCTCTTTAATTTATAGTCCATACAAATAGCAAAGTTTTGCATAGAGTTCAGCATTGTCCCCAGAGTGCAAAGGATCCTGCCTGCTACATATAAGTGTCACTATGTATTTTAAAACACCCTCCTAAAAGGCTTCATTTATCTTGGGAGGGAGGCACAGAGAACATTATGCTCCTTGCTGGATTAATGTTCATCTAAAAATTGCATCAGGCCTTGATGTCCCACAAAAATTAAATGTAATATAAGCACTACACAGTGCAGACAGTGTAGAATGCGTATTTCAGTCATATCACTGAAATCAGTCATAATTCAGTCATATCATTCAGGCATGTCACTCTCACATTTTATTTTTTTATTTTATTTTTTTATTTTATTTTTAATTTTTTTCCCATGTGGACATAGGTTCTTTGATATCACTTCTAACTTTGCTTTTGCTCAGATTCCTGTCCTGAAGTGCATTCAGTAGAATTAGGTTTAATTCTTCTCTTGACAAAGGGATCAAAAGTCTGTGCATTTTTTTTTCTCTCTGACTGGTATTTATGATTATTTTAAACACAGTGAAGAAGTCATTTGACTTCAGTTAGTAGACATCAATGAGACATTTAAAATAAATCCAGGTGATACGCTGTTAAATATATTTCTCATTTAAAAATACACTTTATGATAAAAGATGTTGCTTTGGCTTTTTCCCAAGTGTGTGGCTTGCAGATTAGATGAGGAATTCTTAAATGCAAAGGGGGAGTTAATTGCTACTGGGAATAGTTTTGAACCACATTTTGAATAATTTAATATTTAATGGACGGCTGGCTGATATTTAAAACAGGTGATTATATTCTTTGCATTTCAATTAAAAACATGTGTTCCTACTTTATTTTTAAAACTTCAAAAATTCTGAGTCTGTTGCATGTAAATGTAGGCATGTACCTCCATATCTCTCTCTCCCTCTCTCTCTCTCTCTCTCTCTCTCTCTCTCTCTCTCTCTCTCTCTCTCTCTCTCTCTCTCTCTCTCTCTCTCTCTCTCTCTCTTTTTTTCCCCAGCACAATTAGCAGGTCTGAGAACCACAGAGTGAATACAATATTCACTTTACAATGCAGTGCTCTGTTTCTGAGAAATTAAAATTATTTCACCTCTTCCTTTCCAAGGAGAAGAATTCTTCACAGAAGAATTCTTGTCCTACTGATAAGTTACTTAACATCAGTATTATGGATGTAATTATTCTGAAAATTTCTGCTAAGGTGTTTGAAAGCGATGGTATACAAAGCATCTGAGAGTGACCCATGGAGAGCTGTTTAACTCCATCACATTGCCTTTATTCTGTATTTACAACTGATAAATCACAATGGACATTATAAAATGTTTCTCTTTATTACAAGAAAATAAATTCTTTCCATGTGCCAGGTTTTGTTTTATCACTAATAGGAGGAAATCTGCTACTTAAGATACAGTAAACATTATAAACTCCATTTTAGGAAAAATATGCAGCTGGAAATTCCTGGGTGCAGTGAAGACTCGTATGTGTTAAGATCTTATATACTGAAAGAAGGAAACATAAATACCAAAATAATAAAAAAACATTTCTGATAATTTTAATATACTCTGTAACATTCTTTGTTATTTTCTAAATTTATTGTAATAAAAAAGTGATAAAAGTGTGTTAAATCAATAAAAATCAAAGAGAAATTGAAAAATAGCTGAATAAATATCACAATATCATCAAGAGCATAAGAATAAAATGGTAATTTTCAGATACAGTACTTGACGGGATGTAGACTGAGGATGCGTATTGCTCTGTTTACTTGCCTGTAATCTCTATAGCTGAAGGGAGATTTTCATCATCTACTACAGCTCAGTTCTGACTTCCTGTTACCTGTAGATAGAATTGCATATGAAGGAGGTGGAACAGTTCTGGCTATCTTAGACAAAAGATTTTGCCAACTTCCTTTCAGTTATGCCTCTAGCTGTAAAATGTCTCTGATGGAATCAAGTTAAAAAGGAAAAATGTATCTATTGTTGTTATATTTAAAATAATTTCCATATCAAATGGCACCCACAACAAACAAAAGGAATTAAAAGACAGCAAAAGTGAATGTATCATATAAGTGATTGTTTACCTTTTATCATTTTTAAATGGTAAATATGCAAATGGTTTAACTAACAAAGTAAGAATCTAATAATAAAGTAAATTAAAACTCCTTATATTTCTTTTTAGTTTTTTGTCATTTTTTTTCTTTAAGTATAATGCATTTTCTTCCCCATTGAGAAAACAATAATTTATTCAAAGAAAAATAAAATCTCATTATGCCACAGGGAAGGTTCATATTAATTCTGAGAACATAGTTCTTTCTTTTTGTTCAGCAGTATTTCCTCTTTATTTGGCATATTACACCACAGATTTAGTGCTGTCAAGGCCAGAAGCACGATTATACCAGCATCTTAGGAAAAACAGAAGCAGTATTTCTTTGACGTGTTTACCTGTTAGGAATATATTCTCTATGTCACGCACTGTAAATATTCAGATTCATTTTGCAGTTAATAACCATGGCACAGCTTCCTTATTTTCAGAATACATTCTGAAGAAGTGCTGAAAGAGGGAAAAGAGAGACATATTGCAAAAATATCAGCTGAAAAGGGGCTTGCTATTCATTTGTACTGTTAGTTACATACTGCCATCTAAGTAGCTTCTTAGGCACTCAACTGGGGCATGGCTGGCAGCCCAGACTGCCAATCTAAACAGTCTTAACATTCTTAACCTCTTTATTGAGTTCATCTGCACTGGCAAGCACCAGGTCCAGTAACACTTGGTTTTTCTAATACTAAGGCCAGGAAATTTTCGTCAACATACTCCAGGAATCTCCTGGATTGCTTGCAGCCCGATGCATAACTTTCCCAGCAGGCATGTGGGTGGCTGAAATTCCCCATTAGGATTCATTGTAGTGATTTGCATTTTAATTATTTTGTTTTCAAATTTAAAATTTTGAGTGCTGGTAAAGTCTGTGAAGTCTTTCATGTCATGATATCATAGGATATATATATAAATGATTTTAAATATATACTGTCGTGGTTTAACCCGGCCGGCAGCTAAACACCACGCAGCCGTTCGCTCACCCTCCCCCCTCCCTCTCTGGGACGGGGGAGAGAAATGGAAAGTGAAGCCCGTGAGTTGAGATAAAGACAGTTTAATAAGACAGGAAAATAATAATAACAAAAATAATAATAACAATAATAATAATAATGATACAATAGTGATAATACGAAAGTAATAATAGTATGTACAAACAAGTGATGCACAATGCAATTGCTCACCACTCGCTGACCGATGCCCAGCCTAACCCCAAGCAGTCCGGCCCCCTCCCCCCGGCTAGCCACCCCTATATATTGTTTAGCATGACGTCAGATGGTATGGAATACCCCTTTGGCTAGTTTGGGTCACCTGTCCTGGGTCTGTCCCCTCCCAGCTCTTACTGCACCCCCAGCCTGCCTGTTGGCAGGACAGAGCAAAAGGCTGAGATGTCTTTGGCTTAGTATAAGCACTGCTCTGCAACAATTAAAGCATCGGGGTGTTATCAGCACTCTTCTCATCCTAAGCCAAAACACAGCATTCCACCAGCTACTAGGAAGAAAATTAATTCTGTGCTAACTGAAACCAGGACAATACATATAATTTACAGGTCATTTGGAATTCATTATTTTTTGCAACAAATAAAATAATTGGCATGCTAGTGGTTAGTACCTTGATTTGATTACTAAAAATATATTAATTAATAACAGCTTTCCATATGGTACCCTTGATTAAAATCTTGCAATTCTGCAGAGAGAATCTATGGTATGAAAGAAAAATGCTTCACTTCTGTATTTGCTGAGCAGATTTTCACTTAGTAAGATTTGAAAAATCTCTGTTATGAGCCCTAGCTCTGTTACAATGACTAGACTCACACTGCATGAAGGATCTTGAAGTTTTTACTAAAATAAAAAAATAACTTCAGTTATATCAGGTTCCATCACTGTCAACACACAATAAATATCAGCAGGGTGTAGGGCCAGTGGGTTGTTCTTTCAGTTGCACAGCATGCTGATTTTACTCCTCTGTGTGGAGCTTTAAAGTAATTAAACACGAGATTTATGAATAGGAGAATAAGCAGTAATAGTTAGTGGCTGATTGGATGAATGAATGTGAATGAATAATTTCCATAAGTATAAACTTATGGAAGTTTATACAGACCATTGGAAGTTTCACAGACCGTAATTTAAAATGGTATGGATATATATGAGAATCTAATAAGAAGCAATATTTAAAGAAAATAGAAACATTAGCTTATATAGGTCTACACATAATTTCTAGTATCTGCCTAAGCATTGAAAGCTTTAACTGAAGAAAATTACTTAAAAGTTTCTGTTAACTACTTCAAAATACAGCACAAAGACATTAAGTGTTTTAAATGTAATATTGAAAGTCTCATTATAAAGGTGTGGTGAAAAATGTTTCATTCCTCTTGCCACCTTGTTTGTCTTAGATAATCAAACATTTTGATTATCATGAAGACAAATCATGAATGAAATAAAAAGAAATAAATTACTTTTCTGGAGTAAATACATTTTTAAAGGATTAATAAATATGCAAAGAGCATAATAGTAATTCCTTGGTCATAATGAATTGCTAATAAAGGTTAAACAGTTCCTGAAGAATAGAGTTCTTGGTCTTCATCTTTGAGATTTACCCTTTTTGCCTTATGTTTATATCTATATTATTTTCTTTACTTACATTTAATAGTCGACTGTTTGACCGTTGTATATTATAATTACCATTTTGAAGAACATTCTCTCTACATATATACACCATACAAATAGAATATGCTGATATGTATATTTTAGTTATACATACTCAAATAATAAACATTGTATACACAGACATAAATATAAATGTATAATATAGATACATATATGTATGTGTTATGTTTACATCTGTGTTTCACTCAGAGGATGGTGAGACACTGGAACAGGTTGCCCAGAGAGGTTATGGATGTCACATCCCTGGAGGTGTTCAAGACCAGATTGGATAAGGCCCTGAGCAACCTGATCTAGTGGGTGGCATCCCTGCCTATGACAGTGTACTGGGTCTGGCTGGAATGTTAATTTTCCCGGCAGCAGCCCATACAGTGCCATACTCTGCACTTGTAGCTGGAACAACAGTGTTACCACACCAGTGTTGTGTCTACTGCTGAGCAGCAGTGGCACAGCATCGGGCCTTTCTATAACCCTCCTACGGGGTGGGCAAAAAGTGAGGAGAGAAACATCACTAGGGCAGCTGACCTAAACCAATCAAAGGGATATTCCATACCATGTGATGTCACACTCAGCAATAAAAGGTGGAAACAGGAAGAAGAGGGGAGGGGTGGGCTCTTGTTGGGAAAACGTCAGTCCTCCTCTCGAACACCGGCTACGTGCGTTGAGGCCCTGCTTCAAGGACATGGTCAATCATCACTCATTTGTGGGAAGTAGAGAATAATTTCTTTCCTCTGCACTTCCACATAGCCTTCATTTATTTTGGTTGTTTATTTTCCTCCCTTCTTTTTATTTTTTCCCTTCCCCCCCCGCCCCCCCCTTTTCCCCTTTCCCTTTTTATTTCCCTGTAGTTAAATTGTTTAGTTCATAATAATCTTTATTTAATTATTATTAATATTTCCCTTTAATTAAATTATCCTTATCTCAACCCGTGAGTTGTTCTTTGCTTTACTTCTCCCCCTCCTCATTTAAAAGAGGGGGAGTGAGAGAGCTGTTGTGGGGTTTAGCTGCCCAGCACGGCAAAACCACCACAGACAGGGAGGGTGGAACTAGATAATCTTTGATGTCCCCTCCAACCCAAGCCATTCTATGATTCTATGATCTAGAAGGAACTTGTACAATCAGATTTTGCTCTGCCAGTTTGGTTTTATTTGCTTGTTTGTTTGAAAAATATGTTCACTTTCACTGGTGTATTGCACATTCAGATACATTTCTGCATTGAAAATTTTTATATGTTGTTTGATTCTCAGAATGTTGCTTATTTAGAATTTGAAAAATGAAGAAGGAACCTGATCAAGTTCTGTGTGATACACCAACACATACATGGTAATTTTTTGATGAAATAGGTGATACACATTCATGAAATACTTTGGAGTATTATTACATTGACAGCAGCCTCAAACTGGGACTTGAGAGAAAATGGGTGTGGGATTAATTGCCTAAACATAGTCATCCAGTTTTATTTGATCACTTGACATGACCTAAGGGATTCAAGATATCCACATGTGGTTGGCACACATGAAATAGGGGCCACAGGATACCCAAGTCATTATGGAGCATTGACAGAAGGCCTGGCAGGAAATCACGAGAGTATTTCAGATGACCCTGGATATATATTTGATCAAGTGAATCAGTGTGTGGCTGTGGGTCACCAGTAATGCCTGAAGTAATGCAGGCAGGCAATACGCTGGTCTGAGTTAGCTCATATTTTTATATTTGAAGTCACAAATATACTCAACTGATTTGAGTATAATTTACCTTTAGACTGTAGATGTCTATGCTCTCTACAATGCCAAATAGACAGTGATTCATATATGTAAATGAAGGTAAGCATGTGTTTCTAAGGTAAGAGTCCAAGGCCTTCCACATTTTTTTCATGCACTGTACCTTCTATATTTTGAGTATACTTATGACTGTAAAATGTGTGTCATGCCACAGTGTGGTACACACAATGAGGGTGCCATATGGTGCATGGTGCCATAAACCATTTAAATCAGATTGTCTTCTAGCATTTTTGATTAAAAAACAACAACAACAACAAAAATAAAAACTAAAAATGCGTAACAAAGTGTAGGCATTCATGATGGAACAGATGCGCATTCTGGTCATGTACCAACACAAAGACACATTGACACTGAATTCATATTCATTCATCAATGTTATTTTTATGCTGATCTAGTGCATGATCCAAAAGAGAAATGTAGAGTAGGATAAAGTAAAATGCAAACAAAAATGCAATAAGCATGGGGTTACTTTCTAATAATATTTATTATTATTGATATATGCTAAAACATTAATGAAACTGCCTGTCTCATCTCCCTCTTAGATCACTTAAATCATCTTCTTAGATCTCCCTGCCTCCCTGGGGCCAGGGTCAGGGACGTTGCCAAGAAAGTCAAGCGCCTGGTACGGCCCACTGACTACTACCCGCTACTGGTCTTTCAGGCTGGTAGCGATGAAGTAGCAAAGAGAAGTCCGAAGGCGATCAAAAGAGACTTTAGGGATTTGGGGTGACAACTTAGAGGTTCAGGCGAGCAGGTTGTGTTTGCCTCTGTCCTTCCGATAGGGGGGATCGAAGCAGAAAGGTGCGCTGTTCACATAAACTCGTGGCTTCGAGACTGGTGTGACTGGCAGAACTTTGGGTTCTTTGATCACAGGAAGGTCTGTGCTACACCGGGCCTGATGGCACCGGATGGGATGGGCCTCTCTCGGAGAGGGGTAAGGATCTTTGGTCAGGAGTTGGCAGGGCTGATAGATAGGGCTTTAAACTAGAGTCGAAGGGGGAAGGGGCTAAAACCAGGCACGCCGGTGAAGACCTAAGGGATGGTACGCTAGAATCAGAGGGGCTGTGTGCCAGTGAGGTCCTTCGGTTAGATCCACAAGGTGCTGAGTGTAAGGAGACGCACCTGAAATGCTTCTACACGAACGCACGCAGTATGAGGAATAAAATGGATGAGCTAGAAGTCCTGGCCCAGTCCCGCAACTCCGACATCATTGGCATAAGCGAAACCTGGTGGGATGAGTCCTGTGACTGGGGTGTTGCGATAGATGGTTACAGGCTCTTCAGGAGGGACAGGCAGGGTAGGCGAGGTGGTGGGGTGGCGATGTATGTGAAGCAGGGGCTGGACTGTGTGGAACTCCAGGTCGGCGATGGCAAAGTTGAGAGCCTCTGGGTAAGGATCAAGGGACGAACGAATAAAGGGGATGTCGTTGTGGGAGTCTATTACAGACCGCCTGGCCAGGACAATAGCGCCGATAAATTATTCTTTACAGAACTAAGAGAGGCCTCGAGATTAACTCCCCTTGTCCTTATGGGGGACTTCAACTTGCCAGACGTTAACTGGGAGTGCCACACGGCTGACACGAGCAAGTCCGGGAGGTTCATGAAGCACCTAGATGATAACTTCTTGGTGCAGGTGCTAACGGAGCCAACTAGGAAAGGTGCCCTCCTAGACCTGTTGCTAGAAAACAGAGAGGGTCTGGTGGGAGATGTGGTGATTGGTGGCCGCCTCGGTCATAGTGACCATGAAGTGGTTGAGTTCAAAATTTACGGTGACAGAAGG